TTCCAGCTAAAACTCGTCAAAGAGATATCACAATTGGTTAAAGGACCGTCTTCACTTTTGTATTTGACGAGTTGGCGCGATGCCGGCGAAACGTCTGAGAATGTACCAAGTACACGTCTGACTCTGAGATTTATGATAATTACTAAAGCAGAGGACTTCAGACAAAATGCGTCCAATCAAGTCGCCTTGACAACACGTCAGAGGTCAGACCACTCTTATGTACAAGGAACAAGTCCGTCTCGGTTTCCGGTGTAGCCGACTCACGAGTATTCTGTAGTCTGGCCTTGTTGGAAAGGCCTTGATTTCGTGTGAAAATGCATGAAGAAGAGATTCGAAGGTTGATCTCACGAGAAGACGACGCCTGAACCCCGTCGTACTGCAGCCGCCGTCTTCTCGTGAGTCCAACCTTGGAATCTTTTCTTCGCGCACTTTCACACGAAAAATAACGTCATTTGAGGAGACTCATCGAAACACAGTTGCTTTGCGTAGCCACGTTTTGTCTGGCGCCGGGACGTTGAGCCACTTTTTGGTATCGAGGACAGCCGTTTCATGTGCAATATCAAAGCCTGTCTGCCGGAGCAATAGCGCCGAACCCATCATGGCACCGTCGGCTCCGCATCGTGTCTGTCGAGTCCCGACGGCCTCGAGTACATGCGATCTTTCTGCTTCTACTTCCGGACGCCTCCTTCTCTCCCTTCGCCCTCCGAGAGGCTGCAACTGGGGCAACTCAGACCAACATTCACTCGTCGGCCTCAGCGACTCATGCGACAGTACATGACTTTGTGCATGGTTCAAGTGTCCACTTGTATGTCTGTCTGTCTGTGCGTTTGTATATCTGTGTGTCTATCTGTCTGTTTGTAAGTTTATGGGTCTGAGTACACCAGGCCGAGCTTGTCTCCAGTCGTGTTCATCGATCCTCTCTAATTGCGTTTGTGTGCAAGGCTGGAATCGATAGAACCTGGCGACGGTTAGGCAACATGGCGATATGATGACACGTCGACACGACGACACGACTCGACCCGGTCCGCTCCGCTCCGGTCCGGTCCGGTCTGCTTCTTGCCTCTTGAGTGTAGAGCTGGGCTATTCCTGAGGCCCTCCTCAGACAGCCTCCTCCGTTGGCATGTGGACGCAGACGGTTTGCGTGTCGATCGATGCCTCGTCGCCCTTCTCTCCTCCGGGCTTGGGCATACCGCCTTGTCAGCAGAGCCGGAACACCTTCACTCCGATCCGAACATGGCATTGCGTAGAGCTCGCACTTTCTGTCTGCCCATCAACCGACGGTTTGTTTGCATGTGTCTGACATTGTCTGTATGCGTCTGTGTGTGTGCATGTGCGCGTGTGTGTCCTTGTCGGTGTGTCCCGTCTTATTCGTTTATTCGGTCTGTCTGAAAGCACCACGACTGAATCTCATTATTGCCTGCCCGTCTGTTGTTGCTTGTTGCCAGTTGGCAGTTTTGATGGTTCGGTTGGTTTTGGTAGTTTTGGTTGCTGACGTCTTCTTCGTCTTCTACACCCTCTGCACTCCTCCGGTCGGCTGGATCGACCTGAGGCCTAATCAGGCCGATTAGCTCACAGCCAACTCTCCTGCCTCCTGTCTTCTGTCTTCTGCCTCCTGCCTCGGCATCTCAATGCCTTTGCAGACATCGGCTCGTCTTTTCAACGACACGTCAGCGGTGCTAGTCACCTCGCCCGCAAGCACTGCCTCTTCGTGGCGTTAGGGCCTAGGAGATCCAATCGTCTTGTCGAGGCACGCAGACGCACAGAACCCACATACAGAAGCGCATTTGTTACTGCCACTCAAGCCTAGCCCTTTTGTCTCCTCATCTTTCTCCTGGACGTGTGTGTATGTCTTCTCACCTCGGTGTCTGTCTCTCAGACGATAGGCATGCCACGAACCAGTTAATTAGGCAATCGAGTCGGCCACTGAGTCAATCAGTCAAACTACTTCTTTGATGTCCGTCAAGCTTCAGTATGTATGCATGCGTGCATATC